AAATACCAATAACAAATACCAATAATAAATGCTTCTTTTCGATGGAACAGAGTCCGAATAATGTTTTTCAAGCCATTCCTGGCATTGAACAGTATTTTTTTTTATTAAAAAACAATGGTAAATCAGCACACGGAATTGCTTTGAATTCATTTTTTTATGAAAACTCAAAAGTAGCGTCACTTAAAGTACTGTAACTTGTAAACAAATAGTCGGATTAACATATGATTTTGACAGTAATCCTAAAAAGGTTGCCACTTTCGAAAAAAAAAATTTATTTAGTATTAGTGCCGCCATCTATGTGTCAGTCACACACATAATTGAACGAAGTGTTAGAAGATAATGTATATAAGATTATGTATATTAAGCATTTATAGGTAGAATAAACATGTAAAATATATTGATGATGATAATTGGTTAGCAGTGTAGCCATATTCTTGCTACCATCGTCAATATATTTTATATACATACATAAACACGTTATATATTACAACTGATAAATAGTTTTTATGCAGGCTCAGCTAATTTTACAAATTTATTTTGAAGCAAAATTTTTACATCTTTTTACAACGTACTCACCAATTTCTGGTTTAAAATTTGTTTTCTTTCCACAATTGAATTTAGTTAAATGTAGTTACTTTTATAATATTTAATACATTATTCCGAACAACTAAATTTTATTATCCGTTTTAATAAAAACAAATTGTATTCTGATGCAATTTAAAAAACCTTTCTAATATTTGACAGCTTAAAAATAAGTGTTAACTCAACAATTTTAATAAAGTGGCAAAAAAAAGTGATGGTATACCTGTTTTTACACGGTGTATCGTTACGAGTATATGGAGTTTACATTAATTACTTTGCTGATGGAAATCGACTTTGAGTACAAAACCAGCAACTAATGTCGGTTTAGCCATATAACACATGGCTCAATAATTTCTTTACAACAAATGCACCGATTCCTAATTGTTTGTTGTTTTTGTCAGTTGCACTGGAGTATGGCAGAAACTGGAAGATATACCCACTATCCAAAGAAAGGGTTCATAGCTTATAACCGAAACGTATTGGTTTTACAAGTTCCAATGTGAATAGTTGCGACTCAGGCATTTCTACAAGACCACCATAATCTTGTGCTTTTGATTCGTATACAACTGCAATAGTATATAGATACCATTTCACAATTAGACACGCGGAATTCAAAATAGAAAAACAAAATTTTAAAGTCGCATGTAATGTTTGTTGATATTTACATTATTATTCAATAGGTAGTGGAATGTCACTTGGCACTTATAAGTCATCTTCGCTCCAATTGTCAATAATATGCAATAGTTCCTGATTTCTTGGATATCTCCACTATTGCGCAACACACAATTATAAAGTATATACCAAATGAAAGACTATTGAATTTTTTATCTATATAGAAAAATAACTTAGAAAAATTACGTGTTCCATATCCGGTTTGGACCTCTCAGCATGGTTGCTATCTTGGCGAGGGTTTGCTAATGCCAAGCAACGTTGCTGTGGAAAGCTGGGTTGTTATTAATGAATTAATTTTAAAAAATGATTTATTTGTTGTACTTTTTCAGACATATTTAATATTTGAAATGAAATATTGAAAAGATATTTACTTATTCTTTTTCTGGAACATATTTCTTTTACTTTATATAACAAGCTTCAATTTGATTTTGACTGAAATTTCATAGAATTGTACTAGTTTATTTTCGCTGTTTTTTTGCTTATGATAGCTTAATTAATTTTCTATTAGGAATGTTAGCGTGCAAATTGATTCTTTATGATTTTTCTAATAATAAACATTTTGATAAATCGAAAGATTTTTTAAAATTCTATAAATATTACGCCTTCTCATTCAGTTTATCTTATTTTTTTTTTAAATAACAACTTTCCGATATTTTTTTATAAATAAGAACCCAGGTTTTCATACAAACGTTTCTAACTTAATGCTAACAATATAGTAAAAAAACCGATAACTGTCAAAATAAAAACCTGAAATGAAGATGTAAACGCATAACGTTTGGGAACTAACTTTAGCAAAACTTGTTGACTAAAGTTTGTAATGTAAATATAGCATTAGGCCTTTTCGGTGGCTTGCAAGTACGGCAAAAAACAGCAAGTTCCTGGCCTATGCAGGCCTATACTGGCCGCAATGTACGCAAAACAACAACACTATTTTCTCTACCTTGGCCAGCATAGCTAAGCTGGCCAACCACATCGGCCAGTAAAAAAAAAAATGTTACCAACGCAATAAGCGAACTATTGTGAACCTTCATTGAAAATTCCAACGAATAGTGCAATCAAATGTCAAAAATTGAGGAAATAAAAATTCAAACAGAATTCAAAAATTGGAAAAATCTTGAAAAATAACGAAAAAATAATAAGAATGTAGAAATCGTAAGTATTAAGCACATTGAATTTTTTTTTATGTTAGTTATTACCAAGTAACATTTATTTTATATCATTTAATTTGTAGTTTACATGCGTAAAAAATTTTTTTATAGAAGTAAAACGTTGCTTTCTTCTCCCAACATCGACAGTACCTACAAAAATTTACTTATCTTAGTGTTTTATTTTTAAATTTCCAATATTCTTACCATTCCTTTTAATTCCTTGTTTATTTTAATTTTATAATATTTTTATAAAAATATATTTCATTTATATGCACATATACAAGATTTGCTGTTTGTCAAAACAAAACATTTGACAGATTGCAACAGTGATGCCAATGACTCGCGTGGCCAACATAGGCCAACATGCATTTTTTGCCGTACTTGCGAGCCACCGAAAAGGCCTATTATATAGCGTTTCACATCACAATGTTCAATTTTGTACTTTTACTTGTATTTAGATAAACTTCCATTGTAACTAATAGCACGTTTACATTATGTGGTAGCCAGTACATCGATAACAATAAATCGTGACAATTATACAATTCATTAGAAAAAAATCATATGCTTTCAATCCCTAACTGGTTAATGCTTCTACGTACTTGCGCTTATGAAATGTTTCATTTCTTCTTGCACCTCATGGATTTGTCTTTATTATAAAATAAATAAAAAAACAGTAATTTCTTTAAAAATTATAATATAGTTTGTATTAATCCAAATCAAGTAAGGTATCTTTGAAGGCTCCCACAAGCCAGATAGTCATTTCTAAATAATAAAATAATAAATAAAATCTATTAGAAGTTAATGATCCGTTAATGTTTACTATTATAACTAAACTGTTACTATTGTTATTATTACTATTATCATTTTTCTATATCATAAAAATAAATAACGATTTTAAGGCACTTGCAGTGTTATGCTACGTTTACATTGTGCGATTAAGAGAAGTAAGTTAAGTTAATTTGCATTCTTTATCTAAACTGTTAACATTATACGTTGCAGATTAATTACGACGTTTCTCCCATACAAAAGATTGTTTTGTATGGGAGAAGTGCTTCTTCCACGAACAACTTCCATTGGATTTGGCTCGTTTTCGAAGACCCACTCGGTCGATTGTTGTTTTGTTGCGGGCTCATCCGCATAGATCCATGATTCGTGACTTGTGACGATTTTATAAACGTCTTTTGAAACACCGCGAACGTATTTTTTCAACATATCTTTGCACCAATCGACACGAGCCTTTTTTGGAGCGATTGTCAAATTGTGCGGGATCCAACGAGAACAAACGTTTTTCACGGCGAGGTGTTCATGCAATATCGAATATATGCTGGTGGAACAAATGCCCAAGGATGTCTCTATCTCACGGTATCTGACGATCTTGCGTTATCAGTTCACACACGGCATCAATGTTCTCTGACACAACGGCCGTTTTTGGACGACCTTCATGGAATTCGTCGTTGAGCGAGCATCGGCCACAACTGAATTCATTAAACCAGTTTTTCACAATGCTATAGGATGATGCTTCATCGCCCTACAAAGATTTAAGTTCATCAATGCTTTCTTGTGATAATTCAAGTCGAAAGTTGTGAAAAATGACCGTACGAAAATGCTCACGTGGTAATTCCATTTTTGGGCCGAGATGAATTCTTCAAGTCTCTGTAAATATAAACACGTTCTGAGTGATGTTATGCTAAAAAATGTCAACCTTTTCAATGGAAATGTCAGATTGCATCTGGCAACACTTACTGTTGCCTAGGCCAGAAATATATATAGCAGCTCTCGTATTACATTGTAAGATAACTCCTATTTTTAATGAGAGAAGATTTTATTTTTTTTATATAGATCTCCACCAATTATACTTTTAGGAAATCGTGTCAAATGCGAATTTTTAACACATACTCCAAAATTGTTCCGTTTAACATAATTTTTATATTATTGTTTTGCTTATAATTTATTTAGTATTTATTAATATTTATTTTAGTATTTAATTAATTTATTTATACTGAATTAACGTTTCTTATGAACAGTAAGACTGAGACGTGAAAAATGACTCAGTCACCATTGATGAGTGGGTTTTAAAAACTATATATTACTTTACTTTCCGAAGCAAAATATTTACTTTATTTTGAAGTATTTTTATGGGTAATTAAAAGAAATATAAATTTTATTGAAATAAAATTAACCACAAAGATCAACTGTATTTGTGGTTAATGGGACAAAATTCATTACGTCATATTGTACAGATCGCTATACTATGCTTGAACGTGATTATAACGTTTAAGCTGCCGATATAAACTTATCCAATAAATAAGTATATAGCT